ATTGCTTCTCTAATTCTTACATATTTTTCTTTGCTCACTTTTATCCCTGTTAGTTAAGTTAAAACCCTTCCTGGAACATGCAGTACAAACCCGCCTCCTCTTTAATCTTTGTACCCTTTAAATATTTACAGATGGTTTTCATATTCCCCTTCAGTTGTCATTTAGCCAGTGTTACTCTGTACCTCTTCAAACTTAGCACCCTTGGAAGGGCACACAAGGCCAAATTCTGCTCTCAGTTACATCTGTGTAATTCTGGAGTAAGTCAGTGAACTTTAGTAGACTTCAAATTTGCACCAGCAAAATGCAGAGCAAAAGGTGACTCCTAAATAAAGGTGACTGCTAAATAAACACTAGGAAGACAATCAAAACTCACATCACATCCTCCGGGCCCTGGACTGCACCAGGTTGGTGCAAAATTACATCAGTTATTTCCCAGCCATATCCTTTGGTCTTGTCTAAATTGTCTTGCTGTTCCAGCTGACTTCCTTCTACTGTCACTCTTTCTTCTGTCACAGCCACATTAGAGATTGTTAATGCGGTCAATGTTTTTCCTGGCTGAAAGGCATTATTAAATTTAGCAAAAAAAGAGCTGACCGCTCACTGACAAGAAGTTTCTCTGGGCTGTTTTACACTGCATTCTTCCACTTGGTTTATTTTCCTTATGCTTTGCCCCCGATACCCTTATTAGATAGGGTTAGCGGGCGCCCTCCATTTCTCATCCACTCAGCCCGGCTATTTCAGGTATGATGCCTGTTACTGTATGAACGGCCATCACCTCTGCAGGTCATCCACTTCCCCAGCCTCCCCACGGGCCTAATGACAGGGACCGCCTCCCAGGAGACTGGTAGAGGTTCCCTCCTCCTCCTCCTCCACAGACAGCAGCCACCTTCCTCATGCTTATTCAATGGGACACAGGCAACGCACTAAACATCTTTTTCCTTACACAGGGTACACTGACATATCTGTCTGAGCTGATGGGCGGGTCACTCCTGCTATATTCTTCTACTCCTACTGTACGCAGCATCATCTATAACGACACTGTTGGTAGGCCCTCCTAAGCAATGGACTTTGGACACGACACTTTGTATGGGACAGCTTCTGTAACGAGGCAGAGCTTGCGAGACTTCCTTCACAACTTATGTTGACTAGTTTCAATGGCTTTTACCTTTCGGAGCCTTTATTATAAAGGCTACATTATAGGCCTATATTATAAAGGGTTAATGCTGTTTTTCTCCCTTTGCAGGTTATTCTGATGGATGTAGGAATGGAAATAAAGAACCACGAACCACCTTTCTTTACCCAGAATCTGGCCTAATCTGCAGGAATTAATCTTAAAAAGAGCTTTACAGGCTTCTTACAGCTTCCTCTGTAGCCTAAAAGCACCAGCACAGCCTGTACCATGTGCAAAGAAAGAAGTTAGCGCATTCCAAATGGGAATTAAGATGTAATTTATATGCCTACTTCAGAAGCTGCTAGACCGCCACCCATGCTTAGCCGTTAAGCATCTATGGAAGTGCTTGGTACTGAAACACGGGAATGTAAATTTTCCCAGAAACTTAAATGCTCTGCTTCTGAGCATTCATAAATTCATCTCCATCTCAAGAATAACGAGCACATCGGCAGCTGGCTATATCTGAGCTCATTCAGATTATCAGTTAGGTTGTCTTCACTATACACGCTCTGGTAGATGTGCTGAGTCTGTGATGTGCATCCTGGCAAACACGTGCCATCATTAAGGTCCCCAATTAATATAAAAGCCCACCCATTTGAGCACTTGCTCAGCATGTTCAACACCACACTTCGATTTGCTTTTCTATCTGAGGGGACTTAAAGCCACATTTGCTACTAAGCTACAGAGTTTGCCGACGGAGGGGTATTACCCCATTCGGCCTGCCGGAGCTGCCTGGTGCCCACGTTGCCAGCAAGCACAAGGGGGAGCACAGCTTATGACAGATGAACTGATCCCATCTGCTGACCATGCTATCTGTGACTGCCAGACTTCTTCGCCTTCTGGGTTTAGTCCAGCCTTCCAAAGTAATTTTGCTAACAAATATCTTAAGCCATTAGCAGGGCAGAATCTATCTGCTCTTCGAAGGGCTCCTTCACGTACAGAATACCGTCCTGTTGCTGGAGGTAGTCCCTTCTTTCTCTCAAGCGTAGCAAGTTGTACGAGGTACTCAGTTCATCACTATCTTGCTTCTGATGACTGTTGTGGCTGGTCTCCGAGTGCTGCTCCTTGTCACGCGTGTTTGCTTTGTTCCACTTGCTTCTAAACGTTGGGGTAAAATTGCAACTTTGTGTTTAAATGCTATTATAGCATAAAGTCAAGCCCTTGAACTTACACAACCAGAAATAAGGTTGTTTGTACTTGTGCATAATAATATATTCTTCTAATTCTGTGGTGGCTGCTGACTTCTACCACATGCAGTATATGGTATGAAGTAATAGATGTATTTTTATGCAGCACTGATGGTCTGTCCTGATACCTCAATGAGGCAAAGATACAAGAAGAGGATAGACATCTCTACACTTCTGACCTGGTGGGAATACCAGGAACAGCGCTGTATTTTTGGGTATAGAATAGGCAAGAAATAAAGAGTAAATGTGGCATGCAAGACTACACAAGCTCAAAATACTACACAAGCATAAATTAAACTTTCCTCTAATGAAGGGAAAATGAGATGCAGATCAAATGAATTGATCAACTTTTAAGCTCAGAGAAATAACAGAACTGGGCTAGAACACGTAATCTTAGTCATAATTTCCTCCTTTAAATTATATCCCCTCTCCATAATCACCTTCCGTGGCTTCACTCATCTCTCATACAACGGGAAAAGTTATTTTATGACATCTTTCAGCTGTGCTTCATTAATTTAGATTCTGCTATGCAGAGTGAACTATTACAGAAGGAAAGACCTCAGATGCGATTCCCACCTCTCCGGGCAGTGACATCTACTAACAGTGAAATTTCTGGAGCTACAACAGGGTAAAAGCAGTCTGGTCAGGACGAGGTCTGTAAATCTGTTTCTCAACTGTCTGTATTCTTCTCCTCCTGTTTGTCATCAGCCACCATGTAAGCAAATGGACACAGACCATACAGCTGAAGGCAATAGGCTGAAGATCAGTTAGCTGTGTCCTTGACAAATTGAGACTCTCTAAATTTTTTTTTTTCTTGTAATAACCTCAGTTCCAATTCTGTAAAGGGCACCTGCAGTTTGCACTGGTCACCACGAGCAGGTTAAAAAACCTAAACAATGGCACTCGTTCCTCACTCCTCTTAGTGGCAAGAACAACTTATTCAATACAAGCTACACGTACAATTTTACACAACATTTTCAAGGCATCAAATACTGTCATCCTTCCAAGGAATGCTGCACTGCATATACAAATAGAAAACCTCATGCCTATTGAGTCATTTTCCTCTTAATCTCAAATAGCTTCTCATGACCCAAACAGGATCGCTTACGTGGCCTTACTCCATAAATCGCAGTCTGTATCCAGAGTTGCCAGGTACAGATCAAACAGAAAGTACAGTTTAGGTCATCCCACCTCTACATTCTGTTTTTCTACAAAGACAGCTAAAAATCTGCTGTTAGCACTACTTCCTTGGGAATAGATATGAAAAACAGGAATAATAGCTGTCCTTTACACAAAGATTCAGTTTGGCAGGCCAAGTCAGCATTTACAAGGGCCAGGCTTCAGTGCCATTTTAAGCAGAACTAACAGTTTTCCCATGCCGTTCCTGCCACTTTGATTTTCCAAAACCTCACCACTAGAGCCTGTTTGTTCTTTTTAGTATCAAAGATCAATGCTGAAAAGTTCATATGTAATCCGCTGAGGGCTGAAAACACACATATTCAAAAAACGAAATTATTATTTTCTTAGAAATTACTGGCAGTTTTACACAAGCGGTACTAAATTAAATGGTGTCTTAATGTTTTGGCAAAATATCAGGAGAATTCAGGCATAATTTTTATTAACAAAGAGACTAAAAGTATAAGCAAGATGATTTGCTCAAGAATTTTTGGTGTTCCACCGTTACTTGTTGGTAGATGTACTGACTGAAGAAAAAAACCCAATAAAAGTACCAAGTATGTAACACAGACCTTTTTCACAACACAGGTAAGTCTCACAACTTATAAAAAGGAATACTTCTGCTACCGCACCTTTCATAAACAGAATATTGGTTAGAGCACTTGCTTTTCTGGGACCAGAGTTTGATTTCAGCTTAAGGCTAGCAGTGTAAAATGAGCTCTTAACAGGATTAATCCAGCTCCTTCTAGATTAATTTACATCCTTCTTTTCTAGAACACCAAATCAGGTCACATTACTTGCATGATTCTTCTTTAGAAGTTGCTGGCAGAGGAAAAGAAAGCATCTGACAGTTCAGCAATAGATGCTTGCTGGGTCGCTCACATGGTTTCTGTACGGCATGCAGGACTCAATAAAAATACTAAGCTAAGAGTTCGTTAATTACATGGTGACTTTATAAATGTCACGAACGGATTAATATTCCTTTGATTCTCTGTGAGACTTTTAAATTATGCAGTTTCCCCAGAACAGAGCTTTGCAATCTTCACATTTATCAAACTAAATAAGAATAATAATTAAAAAAAAAAATCACACTGAAAATAGAAAATAATTTGATTTTTATTTGGCTTCCAGGATCTCCAGTTTCCAAGTGCAGAATTTCAGCAATACACAGAAAGAGATTTCAGATTCAAAGCCAGCTCAGCCAGGATTCCCGTGCTTCCTACATTACAGAACTGTGGACTTCAGAAAGCTACCTGGGACCTTCACCACCCCAGCTGCTTCGCTGTGAGCCTAACTCTTCTGGCAACCCCGAGAATCCCAGCTCCAGACAGGACTTTCCCCATGCCCAGTCTCTGCACTGAAGGATTGCCCAGCCATCTGGGTCCGCAGCCGAGTTCAAAAAGCTCGACTGCCCAAGATGGGGGGAAAACAGTTCCCAACCTCCCCTCTGCACCCC